GACGCAGCCCCGCCCACGCCCCCAGCCCCGCCGCCCGGGTCTGGCCAGAGGCCCCACCTCTCCGCCCCTCCATCCCTGCCCTTGGGGCCTCTCGCACCCTGCTCCGCGCCGCCCTTGACACTGTCCTCAGCTCTCCTTGTCCCCCAGGCTCCTGGCCCCTGCCTATACCACCCCCCCACACACACACCGCACTCCCACTCGCACCCTGTCGTCAGGCTCCCTGCTCAGTGTCCAGAGCACCAGCAGCGTGATGCAGGTGGTCTTCACATCCGGCAACGTGTCCATGAAGGTCTCCTGGGTGGTCAGCCCCTTGGCCTGCATCGGGGGGTTCCGCATGGATGATGGGAAATTGGGCATCCAGGAAGTGAACTCCAGCTGCAGCGGGGTAGAGGAGAGGCCCTGGGTCAGAGAGCACCCCAGGGGTTCCCTTCCACCAGGCTCTAAGCAGCATCTTTCCCATCGCTGACGACCTGCCCCAGGGTCGGGGCTGGGTTGGGACTACCTTGAGGTGAGGGCCGGGGCTGGGGCTGAGGTGAGGGTGGGGGCTGAGTTGGAGCTGGGACTGGGGTTGAAGCTGGGACTCAGGGTTCAGACAAACTGGACTAGATTAGAATCACGGGGAGGCTGTGTGTGAGGTCGGGTCTGTGATGGTCTAGGGGAGCTGGGGCTGGGCTGGGGCTGACTGGTGAGCACAGGTACCTGGCCCGTGTTGACAGCTGCGTGCTTGGCAGAGCAGGTGTAGATGACGATGGTGATGTATCGGATTAGCTCGGGCACAGTGCGCAGGCAGGTGGGGAAGCCTGATGGGGAAAGGCCCGACGTCAGCCTTGCCCTGGTCCTGGCTGCCCAGCAGAGGGCGCCACCAAGCTCGCTTTAGCTCGGTCTTGCCCATCATCCACACACTCATCCCGCCCTCAGGCCCTTCTCTGGCCACCACCCCGTCTTTCTTTCACCATTTAGACCACAGGGCTGAGGGGTGGGCAGGAACAGGGACCCGGCTGGCTCCTCCTGGGTAGCCCCTGGCATGTATTTGAGGTGGGATCCTCAGATCTCTTCCAGCTCCCCTACCACCCCCTGTGGTCCCAGGCCTGGAGGGCAGGTGACAGGTGGGGAGGCCTTCTTGCCTTAACTGAGCTCAGCCCCCTACTGGCTTCCCCCATCCTCCCTTAGACTCCCCCGTTCACTCTCCAGTGGTAGCCTGGCTTCGGCCGCACCTTTTTCCCTACCAAACTGCTTTTTCTCTTTCCTGTTGTCCCATATGCGTGGCCAGTCCTGGTTGCCATGGTGACCCCAGGTTCCAATAGCCCCACATACTCACACCAGACCCATCGGTCTTCCTCCATGGAGGCCTCAGCTCAAGAGATGACACACACCATCCACCCAGTTGCAAAAGCCCGAAACCTGGGAGTCACCATTGGCCCCTCCCTCCCCCACTCCACCCTCATCCCAAACCAAACCGAGTCATTTCCAGCTCCCAACTGGCTCTGGAATTCTCTGTGTTCCCATGGCCCTCACCCATGTCAGGTCCCTGTCACCACCCTCCTGGGCACCATAACAACTTCCCAAACTGCCTCTGACCTTGGTGCTGCCTGATAACTTTTGTTTTTAAAGTTTTTTATTATAGAGCAGGTGCACTCGCCAGAGAGAGAAAATGAGAAGTGACCCTCCAGGGGGATGGCTATGCCACAATCCCTTCTCCTCCATTCTCCTCTCGGAATTTGGGGCATGCACCCACACACACTGGCATGTTTTTCGGGCTAAAGGTCCAAGATTTGAACCACAGTCAGCCTTTTGGGGTCCAGTCTCATTAACCACCTGACGAGCTTAGCAGCCTGATGGTCTAACGCATACATCTGATCTTGCAAACCCCTCCATGGCTCCCTCTGGCATTCCAGGTAATTCAGACTCAACTGGGCTGTGCACCCTGACCTCTGCTCCAGCCTTCAGCCTTCGTCCTAGAGAGCCTGCCCACCTCCACCCAAAGCTCCCGTCCCAAGGAATCCCAGCAAGCCGATCCCAGCACTCCTGTCTGGCTTTCCGACATTCCAACTCAGAACTCTCCAACCCCGCCTCTGTGGTCTTGGCTAACCACCCCATCATGGGGCCTTAGCCGGATATTAGGATACTAGCCGAGAAATGAGATCTCAGCTAGGTCTTAGATGCTGCTCTCTGTCCCCACCCCTTCCCGCCACCCCTCTCCAGGTTGGGTTAGGTGCCTCTCCTGAGCTCCCATAGCCCCGTCCCCACACTGCACCAGCCTGCTATGGTGTCACTCTGTCCGTACTGGAGTGAGACACCCCCAACCCGACCATGAACTCCTGGAGGGCAGGAGTCCATTCTCTGCTTCCTCCATAACCAGCACAGTGTCCCACTGCAGATGCTCATTGATGCACGTGTGTCCCTGTGAAATGACCCCAGCATGCTTTCCAGCCTCTCCTGGGGCCTGCCAGCTCCCCACCGGCTCCCCGACTTCCAGTATACTCTGCTCCTGCTGGACCTCACACCCCATCTTAATCTACAAAGCTGTTTCCAGAGTAGGGGACTGGGCCCCTCCAGGTCTCTGTGCAGATGACTCACAGCTCAGAGACTGGCAGTCAGCCATGTCCTCTCCCCCAACCTTCCTGAGATGCCGCTGCTTCAGGGGCCAGGGCGGGCCCTGTCAAATCCTAGGGCAGCGATGTGGCCCCCTTCAGCCCGTAATGGAGTATGTTCTGATCCAGCCTGGAGGGCGCTGACAGATCTGCCTAGGGGCCACCCTCTTACCCCGGTCTCTGCTGCGTGCCAGGCCCCGGAAGCCAGGCCCATACCTGAGCTCTCACGCCCGAGGAGGCACTCCTTGAATATCTCCTGCACCCAGGACTGCAATTCCGGATCACCCTCCACGGCCGCGTCGTTCGGGTAATAATAGGTGATGATCTCTGTCACGTACCTGGCCAGGGGACAGGGCCGTGGTTTGAATCCTCCCTCCCGTGTTTCTCCCACCTCCCCAAGGCTGCCCTGGCCTTGGCTGGCCCCCCAGAGCTGGCCTAGGCCTGGGGGGGAAAGTGCTATGGGGCAAAGGTGGAGATGGCGGCTTGGCAAGGTCAGAAGTACTCCAAGGGGCAGGCGAGGTCCATAGGAGCTCAGAACCCAGACAGAGGTGGGCTGGGCCCAGAACAGGGAAGGGGCCTGACAGGCCTGGGGGATAGGAGTCTGATGGACAGGTGGAACCCAGACTGTGTCCCTAGGCCAAGCCCCTGGATGACACCAGATCTCCCCCAACACACACCCAGGTCCCTAAAAACTCCTTACAGCCCCTCCCACATCCCCAGGCGTCCCGTCCTCACCTCTCCAATGCATCCCACACGGCCAAGCTGTCATCACGGTAGTAGTATCCGGGCAGATCCTGAACCCCCCGCTTCACAAAGTCATCGGGGAGGTAGAGGTTGTCATAGGTGATCTCTGACAGAGCCCGCACCATCGCCTCGGCAAAGCCCTCCAGGCCTAGGGACATGCCCTGTGAGGAGGAAGCAGACCCTGGAGTAGGACGGCCATCCCTTCCCGTCCCCTACTTAGGGCTTCCAGACCAGCACACCCAGCCCCACCTTTGTGCCCTCCAGACACTGTGCCCACTGTAGCCAATCGCCTCCACCCCTCCCCGTCATGATCCAAAGACAAGTGGAAGTCCTGCTTTTAGTCTAACTGTGAAGGCCAGAGGAAAGCCAGGTCTGACTGGCATTGGGGACAAAAGTCTTACCCTGGCGGAGAGGCCCCCCTCATTGAGGAGGAGGGCCCGCCCGATGCTGTTGATCTGGATGGTGTATCTTGTGTGGGGGATGAGGAGCTGGGGGAAGCAATAAGGACAGCGAGAGACGGTTGGCGATGCCTCAAGGGGCCTCGGCACCCCCACTTCTGGAACATCAGACCCCTTCACTTTGGGAGATCCCCACCCCAAGCCCTTTACTTTTAGTTTTTGTTTTAAGAGAGATTTTTGCTATAGGGTGCATGCACTTGCTGGAGAGAGAAAGAAAAATATCGCCCCCCTGGGGGAGATGGCCATGCCACAATCTCTTCCCTTCCGTTCTCCTCTCAGATTTTTGGGCATGGACACACATGCGCCCTGCATTAGTTTTAAGCCACTGGGTCCGGGACTCGAACTGTGGCCAACTATGTAGGAGTCCAGTGACGTAATCATTATGTCATCTGCTGATCCCAACCCTTTCTTTCTCTCTTCCTTTCTTTCTTTCCTTCTTTCTGAGAGATTTTTGCTATAGGGCGCATGTGCTCACTAGAAAGCCAGAGAGAGACAGAAAAACAGAAAGCGAGAAGTCACCCCCCAGGGGGTATGGCCACGCCGCAGTCCCTTCTCCTCCATTCTCCTCTCAGGATCTTGGGCACACACACACACATGCCCAGCATGAGTTTAAGCCACCAGGTCCAAGATTCGAACCATGGTCAACTACACGGGAGTTCAGTGACATAGCCATTACGCCAACTGCTGATCCCCCCAACCCTTTTTTTTTGGAGAGATATTTGCTACAGGGTGCAAGCGCTTGCCAGAAAGACAGAGAGATAGAAAGCAAGAAATCACCCCCCAGAGGGGATGGCCACGCTGCAATCCCTTCTCCTCCATTCTCCTCTCGGGATCTTGGGCACGCACGCACACACACCCGGTGTGAGTCTAAGTCACAAGGTCTAGGACTCGAACCACAGTCAGCTAAATGGGAGTTCAGCAACATAGCCATTACACTAACTGCTGGTTCCTCAACCCTTTCTTTAAAAAAAATAATTAACATTTATTTCTCCCATGAGCTAGAGAGAGAAAAAATAATTAATGAACATTTATTTCTCCCATGAGCTAGAGAGAGAGCTCCCCAAAAGTTTTAATGCCAAGAGCCACTCCCAGCTTTAGCCAGCCAGGACCGTGGGCACTTGTGCACCCCTCATACCCAGGGAGGGCTCCAAACTTGACCCAGGAACCCTCCTGAGTGTGAGTGCCTTGGAAAGCATTGTGCCCCGTCTAGCCCTGCCAAGCCCCTTCTTGTGGGTGCCCAGATGCCTCACGAAGGCTAACTGGACACCCTCTGGCTACTGAGTGTAGGGGCAGCGGTGTTCCCTGGAGGCCCCTTTCCTGGGCCCACACCTTGTAGAGCGGGTGGCACATGGGGAGGTTCCTCAGCATGGCCAGGCAGAAGGCCTCTGCAATGAGGTGGGTCTCCAGCAGGTGGGAGATGGCCTCGTGGCAGTAGAACTCAGCGTAGCGCACCCACGTCTTAGCCAGCAGCCAGTCCCACTCAGAGTCGTTGGGCAGGAAGATGGGGCAGTCAGGCCCAGGGGTCTGGCTGAGCTGGGGGTGGGAAGAGAGGGAGGATGAGTGACAGCAGAGACCCACTCACACGAAGGCCCCTACTGCGGGAGGGAGGCTGAATGGAGTCTGAGGAGTACACCAGCTAGTCCCTGAGCCCAAGCACACTAGGCCCTTCTTCCCTACCTACTATGCCCTCTGTCTGGACTACCTCCTCCCTGCCCCATTCATTCTGCAAGAACCAGTTGCCAGTTGACAAGCTGCTCCCTCTGAGACGTCTTTCTTACCTCAGCCCCATGGCTGCCACCTTCAGGAGTACCGGTCATGCACTGTACAAGAGAGCCCAGCCCCTCAGGGGAGCGGCTCACTGTAATCCAGCCTACACTATCCCCCAATAACCCAGGAGCACTAGGGCTTGACTGGTCCCCTCAGAAGGATGACTTTTTCTAAGTCATCTAAGAAAAGAAAAAAAAAAAGTGTTTCTTTCTCAACGTCCTTAGAAAAAAAATCATCCTTCTGAGGGGACCAGTCAAGACCTGGTGCTCCAAGGACGTTGAGAAAGAAACACGTTTTTTTCTTTTCTTGTCACACCACACTCCCAAGGCAGCAGCTAGGTCTGACTAATTCAGTATTTCCAGCAGAGGCCTAGCCCACAGTAAGTTCTTTCTTTCTTTCTTTCTTTTTAATTGCCAGACTGTACATATGCATTCTCCAGAGAGAGCGGGAGGGAGAAAGCACATCCTCCCCCCATGTGGCACACCGCAATCCCTTCTCCATTTTCCTCCTGGGATTTGGGACACGCAGGTGCACGCGTCTGGCATGATTTTCAAACTGCCAGATCTGGGGCTCGAACTGCAATCAGCCATGTGAGAGTCCTGCGCCTTAGATGGACATAATGACCTCCGTTTCTCTGATTTTGAGCACTCATGCATATGCACCTGGTGCGTATCTCAAGCCATCAGGGCTGGTGTGTTGACCCCAGTTGGCTACATGGGATCCAGCAGGTGCACGCGCCTGGCATGATTTTCAAACTGCCAGATCTGGGGCTCGAACTGCAATCAGCCATGTGAGAGTCCTGCGCCTTAGATGGACATAATGACCTCCGTTTCTCTGATTTTGAGCACTCATGCATATGCACCTGGTGCGTATCTCAAGCCATCAGGGCTGGTGTGTTGACCCCAGTTGGCTACATGGGATCCAGCTTCCTTTAACCCTGTGGCTACGGCTAGACTTTTTCAAGCAGATGAATGAATGAAGTCAAAGAGATGAGCCTGACACCAAGCACATCCCCATCTGGTCACCTATGCACGTACACACAGCATGCACACCACGCATGGGGCTTACATACGACCGCTCCGTGGGACCCAGATTCACGCGTGGCATACAGGCACACAATGGTAACACAGATGTGCACACGTGGGACTGCACTGGTACTCCCCCAGACTGGCACACGGTCACATAGGCAGGTGGGGACATCTGCATGGCCACACAACTCATGGCCACACACATGCTTGCACACACCCACTCAGGTGCACACACATGGGGCATACACGCTTACACACGGGCCCTCACACATAGGTGCACGTGCACACACAGGGAATATTTGTGCACACACAGAGGCTCAGGCACTGGCAACCGCAGCCCGCCTACACCCCAGGCACCTGGATGGCGATGGGCATCATGCCGTTGGGGCCAAAGTGCAGCAGGCACATGGGGGCGCAGTGGTGCTGCTTCCGGCCGCTGAGCTCCACGGTGGCGATGCCCTCCAGGATGCGGTAATCTGCCAGGTAAATGTTCCCCTTCTGCAGGGGAGCTGCGGTGGGCGGGCAGGTAGGCACCCACGACCTGCGCCTTCGGTGCGGATTGCACTGGCCCGGGTAGCAGTGGTTCGAGCGGGGACAGGGACGGGGAGTGAGGGGCGGTGGCGTGGGTGGGACCTGGGCAGGTGAGGTGGGGAGAGACTGGGACGCCCAGGAAGGAGGGAGGGAGACAGCGGGGTCTCCGCCAAAGCGGACCTCACCTCCAGTTCCGCTTGCAGGCACGTTCCCTCGCCCAGGAACGGGGCCACCATGTCGTCTGTGACGGGGAACTTGTCTGGGAGGCACGTGCAGCGACAGAGCAGGCCTGGGTTGACTCCATTGAGGTACTGGTACCCAAAGAAGCTGTCCTCCGCCCAGTGGTCAGCCACGTACTCTGGGGAGTCGGCGCAGGGGCGTCACAACGCAGCCCAGCCCACTCAGGGGTGGGGAGGCGTGGGGCAAAGGAAGAGAGCGGACACCGAGAGAACTCAGAGTGGAGGGAAGTTTCTGGAAACGCAGCCCTCCGCCCCACCTGGAGCAGTCGGAGGGACCGAAGGCGCCGTTTTCCCAACAGCCGCCAGAGGGCGCACGCGCCCAGCTCGCGAACCCCACCCC